GAGACCACCACCATGCCTCCCAAAGCATCAGGAAAGGCAGCCAAGAAAGCTGGCAAAGCCCAGAAGGCCATTGCCAAGGGAGACAAGAAGAAGAAGCGCAGGAGGAAGGAGAGCTACTCCATCTACATCTACAAGGTGCTGAAGCAGGTTCACCCTGACACCGGCGTGTCTTCCAAGGCCATGTCTATCATGAATTCTTTCGTGAACGATATCTTTGAACGCATCGCCGCCGAAGCTTCTCGTTTGGCACACTACAACAAGCGTTCCACTATCACCAGCAGGGAGATCCAGACTGCCGTTCGTCTCTTGCTTCCCGGTGAACTGGCAAAACACGCAGTGTCTGAAGGCACAAAGGCTGTCACCAAATACACCTCTTCCAAGTAAGCAGCAGCAGCAGCAGCAGCAGCCTGCTTGCTTGCTTGGACTGGACTGGATGACGTCTACCAATACTCGGCTCCGTTGGAGCCACAATTTGTTAGCAAAAGAGAGACTGTTTGGACTAATTTACTTTGTGTGTGGTTCTTCTTCTATTCTCTCTCTCTCTCTCTCTCTCTCTCTTTTTTCTACTGTTATTATATTTTATCTCGCGAGGACGGAAACTTCAAGGTCAAGTAATATGTGTCTCCTACATATACACCAGTTACCTATCTATCTATCTACCTACCTACCTACCTACTACATACAACACACAGTACTTGAAATGCATTCAAGAATAATAGGAACAATATCCAACAACTTTTATTTTATTTTTGTTGGTGACTATACTTTACGCAAGCGACGAAAATTTCCAAGGTTAAAGGATATGTGTTCATTACCTGCATGCATGCATGCATGCACAAGTTATTATTATTATTATTATTATTATTAACTCCGTTGCTACATACAAGACGGTTATTTTATTTTTATTATTATTTATTTATTTTTTTTTTTTTAAATAGAAGAATGTCAATAACACTAACCAACAACAACAACAACAACAATTCTCTTTTGTGACCATACTTTGGCCCTGAAAAGGGCCTAGCTAGATAGACAGAAGAAGATATCTTGATGTTGATATCAACACACACCAGTCAGTCAAGTAACTAACTAAATGCTTGCTTGCTTGCTTAGGCACGCTCGCCTCGGATGCGGCGGGCAAGCTGGATGTCCTTTGGCATGATAGTGACGCGCTTGGCGTGGATAGCGCAAAGGTTTGTGTCCTCAAATAGACCGACAAGGTAAGCCTCGGAGGCCTCCTGCAGAGCCATGACAGCAGAGGACTGGAAACGGAGATCAGTCTTGAAATCCTGAGCAATCTCGCGCACCAAACGTTGGAAGGGCAACTTCCTGATGAGCAGCTCAGTGCTCTTCTGGTAACGGCGGATTTCACGGAGAGCCACAGTGCCCGGCC